TTATTATTATTATTATTATTATTATTATTATTATAACAAAACACTTAAGGCAGGATGGAGACCTTGATTTGCCCTTTGCGTTCAAATGAAAAACATCGTCACTTTTATATCAATGACTTCTTTCAAATGGTGTAACTTATACGCTGCAGATCTGATGAGCCACTTTGCTATTAAACTATTTGTTAAAATGTATCCAGAAAAGCGAAATCACATGACAAATACGTTAATGTACGGTTGTCATGGTAACGACTTCCCCATGCAACAGTGTGAGGGATGCAGAGAGCAGTCCTCCGCGAGGATCCAAGGAAACAAACATTTCACTTGAATCATTTGGGGTGAGTTTGAATTATTCATTTAAAAGACACGGTACCCTACCGACACTCGGTGTTTTCAGATCAAAAAAATTGATAAGGGTAATTGAGGTGAGTGAATAGTATAGAATCTTCATGTCTGTTATTAGCTGCATGTTGCGCCTATTACTAACTAAATGAAAGTACATATCCGGTTACTACTTATCACAATAAAACAGTGATCGTAATCCGAAAGGTGGAATATTGTTGAGGGGAGACAGGAATCTAAAATAATCAAAAGTGAAACTAAAATAATGTAATAGTTTGTGAAAGTAATGACATTTTATTTTATTGACTCATAGTTTTGTGACTTTGCCTTTATTTGAACGGGAATTGCCCTATTTCCGCTGTAGTACTCTACCGTTTTATGAAACTGCAGCCACGCCAGCTACTCCGGTTTTATCACCATCCAAGCAGTTGCACAAACGTCATTCCATTCTTATGATGACACTTCCACATCTTATAATGTGGCAACCTACCATATGGGGAAAATTCCCCCATAATACCATGGCCAAATGTGGTAGTCAGTCTAATGTTCAGAGAATAAATACAACCATTACCACACATTCTTCTTATTGCAGTTCATAAATATATAACTTGCTGGATCGTTTATAGATTGTTTTGTTTCTTTAAGTGCCATCATGCAGGATCACAGGAATGATATGAAGCCATTTCCACCACCAGTCAGCAACGACAGGATCATCTCAGAATTCCCTCAAGTATATCCTTATTTTTTTCATATTCACTGTGATGATATAATTTATTTTAAATAGATGTAGGTCCACCAGAATTTTTGCACTGTGTTTACAGTTTTGTGAACCAGGAGTGCTCAATATACTGTCTTTCAAGGTTCAGATGCATCCCTGCTCCAACCCAGCTGAATTTAATGATTGAATTACCTTTTCACCCATTCATAAAGTTAGGGAAATGCTTAACTTATAGTCATTAATTTGATTCAAGTGTATTGGAGAAGGATTGCATTGAAAACCTGCAGGACTGGAGTTGAAATCTGTAGGACAGGGGTGCTCAAGTCCAGTCCTCAAGAGCTACCATCCTGCAACTTTCAGATGCTTCCCTACTTCAAAATACCTGAATCAAATGAATGGACCCTAGCTGATCCTGTTTTGTTGGAGTAAGGATGCATCTATAATTGGAGGTCAGTAGCTCTGGAGGACTGGACTTGAGCACCCTTGCCGTAGGATACAAGTGACTATTTTACTTAGATCAGTGGTGTCCAAAGTCAGTCAGTATCCTTAATGTTTTCGTTCTTTCCTTGGTTTAGCACACCTGAGTCAAATGATTGTTCATTAGTAGGCCTCTGCTGAATTTTGACATGCTGAGAAGGAAACTATGCTATTTGGCAGTTTCCTCCTCCGGCAGTTTGCCTTCAGGACCAGGATTGGGAAACACTGCCTTAGTTAAATGAATGTCACCACATTCAGGATAACCAATTTTTTTTTTTGCAATTACAAGTAATGTATGGACAGACTTGATGTTGGACCTAAACAACCTAACCTAAACAAACCAGCAACTCAGTTCCAGGTGTGATATCTGATCTATGATCTGAGCCCAGTTCAGCTCTAGGTCAAACTATACAAGAGACAAAATACGACTGCTCACAGGCAGTTAGGAGGTATTCTGGTTAAGAATTAAGGTCTGAGAAACACAGGGTTAACTGTTTCACATGAAGATGAAATAGACAGTCCTGACCTCCAGGTCAGTTCATACACACATAAGGGAGAGAACACTTTAAACAGAAAATCACAATAATCTATAGACTGAATGTGAACTAAAGTAATAACAAAATGATAATACCGAAAATTCTCTAACAGAAGGAATCTATTATTGTACCGATAGCTAAACCAGGAAAAGATCATTCAAAACCAGAATGTTATAGGCCAATAGCATTAACTTCAAACTTATGTAAAATAATGGGAAAACTTATGTAAAATAATGGGAAAAATGATTAATAATAGATTAGTGTATTATTTAAATAAAAAGGGATATATTTCTCATTATCAAAGTGGGAAAAGGAAAGAACTAGAATTCTAGAGCACTAATGACTCAACATTATGTCTTGAGCATGAAGTCAGAAGAGCTCAAGTAAACAAAGAAAGTGTAGTGGCAGTATTTATTGATATTGAAAAAGCATCTGATATGATGTGGATAGAGGGTTTATTAATTAAACTACACAAATTGGGGATTAGAGGAAAAATATATGAATGGATTAAAGACTTTTTAACAAACAGGAAATTACAGGTAAGAATTGGAGTAGTTTCAGGTAAATATGTCGTGGAAAATGGAAGAAGAAGAAGAAAGAGGAAGCGGCATGCCTTCAAATTTCTCATTTGCTAACCTAAGCTGACAGACACGGCATGGAGAGGATTAAATAGAAATAAAGGCCTAAGGTAGCTTTAGAAACAGTGCAGAGATTTACAGCTGAGATGGGAGAATCTATTGACTGGAAAACTTAGTCAAGCACTCCACAAATCTGGCTTAATTGAAAAGATGCATAAAACAGAAATTGCACAAAAAAAAAAGTCTGAACTGCAGTTTACCATAATCAATGTTGGGGATAAAGGGAAGCATGTAGGACAGAGGTATTAAACTCCAGTCCTCAAGGGCTGGTGTCCTGCAACTTTTAGATGTTCCTCTGCTGCACCAACCTGAATAGAATAATTAGGTCATTAGCAAGGCTCTGGAGAACTGATCTGCACAAGGAGGAGGTAATTAAGCCATTTCATTCCAGTGTTTTGTACCTGTGGCACATCTAAAAACTGCAGGACAGCGGCCCTTGAGGATCGGAGTTTGACACCTGTGATGTAGGAGAAGGTGTTGTGGTTAGATGAAACTGAACTGAACTGTTTTGGCAGCATTAAAAAAATTTGTAAGTGGTGGAAAACTTACTCTGCATGTCACCCTCTCATGACACAATCATCTGCTCTGAGCTATGGTAGTGGCAGCATCATGAAATGGAGAAGCTTTTCTTCAACAGGAACAGGGAAGCTGGGGAGAGCTAATGGGAATATGAATTAAACTAAAAATATACTACCATATATTCTGGATTTTTTTTAAAGCCATCACTAAAGACGTTGAAGTTTGTGGTTGTAACGAGACAAGATGTGAAAATGTTTGTGCGGTACGAGTTAATGAGATAAACAAGTCAGCTCTGTCGTTAAGTCAAGTTTTTATCACCTGCCGATTTTAGCAAAAGTTAAATCTTATTTTTGTTTTGAGGACTTTGAAGGACTTATCCCTTTACCCCTTTACACTTAGAAGTAAAGGGGTGCGGGTGTAGTCACCCCCTGGTTGAAAAGGGGTGCAGGTTTTAATGTTTTTTTAATGTTTTTATTTTAATTTTTTTTTTTTTTTACTGTTTGTTCAATGTTACGTGACTCTGTTTCTGTTTTTAATGTTGTAAAGCACTTTGAAATGCTTTGTTGCTGAAATGTGCTATACAAATAAACTTTGATTATCCATGCCTTCACTACAACTCGTTTGGATTATTGCAATTCATTATATAAAGGCATGGATAAATCACAGATGCAACAGCATGACTTCTTACAGGAACCAGGAAGCATGACCATATAAGGCCTTTACTGGCCTCTTTACACTGGCTGCCCGTCTTTTATTGAATAGATTTTGATTATTTTATTAACTTATAAAGTTTGAAATGGGTTAGCCCCCCTTATCTTCAGGACCTTTTAAAATTTCAGTCTGTGTCCAGAACCCTACGATCAAATAATCAGCTACTACTGACAGTTCCTCGGACTTGACTTAAGAGGAAAGGAGATCAGGCTTTCTCTGTTTTGCTCCTATTTTATGGAACAAGTTGCTTTTCCAGATTAGATCTGCCCACAGCCTGGATCATTTTAAATCGCTTCTGAAAACTCATTTTTATTCTTTGGCATTTATTTGAAGTAGTGTTTTGATACTGTTTTTATCAATTTGTGTTATTGTCGTTCCTGTACAGCACTTTGGTGAAGTGTTATACCTGTTTTGAAAGTGCTATATAAATAAATTTGACATTGAGTACTTTTGGCAGGCACTGTAGATAAGTAAAACCCTTAAACCTGATTGTGAATACAAATGAGTATTTTACTTCTGTCATGTTTGACTATGTAGATTACCTGGATTATTGGTGGTTGGGAGGTTTGAGAGAAGTCTTGTTAGCATCAGTCTGTAATAATATAAAACTTTAAATTTATTCAAATTTAAATATGTGCTGAACATAAATATATACAATACAATCTGAAGTTGTTCTTTTTATAGTCAGTGGTTGGAGGAAGCCATGAGAGAAAATGATCCCAATTCCTGTTTCATCTTCTTGGTTGGCACCAAGACTGATCTTCTGGTGAGTGTCTTCTAAATCTGATGTATATGCTGAAAGAACATACATTATTCTGTTGCACAACTAACTTTATGTAAAGCCCTCAGATGAAAGGGAGAGAACTGAAAAAGATGCTGTCCATATTGCAGCAGAGATGCATGCTGAGTTTCAGCCAAAACAGGTAAAACTTAGACTTCATGCTGTCAGTAGTGTATGCTTATGGAGTGAAAATAGTCTCAAAATGTGTGTGTGTGTGTGT